CTCTGGTGCATCGTGAGGTGGGTACAGGTTGAAGATCCTATTCTATGAACACAACAGTATGGAAGAAAAGGAAGGGGGCATACAGTGTTTAATTGTTCCAAATTCTGCTTTTCTCATCTATTTAATCTAAATTTCATAACCACATGGACTGGAAGGAGAGGAGAGGTCACCCCATGGAGCACCGAGCCGGCCCAGCTGCCATGGGGACCTCGAGGCTCTGAACCCCCAAGGAGACACGTGCAGCCCTTGTGGTGCGAGAGCAACCTGGGGCCTTCCTCACTAATGACCGAAAAGGGCAGTGGGTTCTATGGTCTTTCATCCAGCTAGAAATACAGTTGTGCCTTTTTATGACTCGGAAAACAGCATTGCTAGTTTAGTGGCGAATTTACAATAAAATACTTCCTGAAGTAGCGCACCTAAGGATTTATAAATTACATTAATAATTTGAATTACAGCAGTTAGAAAATAAAGCTGAGGTATGAACATTCCTACTTAGCTTTAGGAATCATTTTATTATTCGCATTAATTAAGCCTGCAAGCTTCAGCTGAACACCACATTTTGGTGCCTCTTTTTCTAGGAAACAAAAGTCCAAAATGGTCCTCCCCTACCCCCCCAAAAAAAACAAAAAGCAAACAAAAAATGTGCCCACTGATGCCTGGTAAGCAGAGGGAGATCTTAGTTCAGGGATCCCAGCACAAGTGCCCTGGCGATGCTCGGGATCCGGCTCCGGATGGGGTTTTCCCACAGATTATAAAGTCAGAGGAATCATCTTGATCATTTGCTGTGAACTGCTGCAGAGCTATAGGAACCCTCTGGGTTAATTAATTATGAACAATTTTAATCGTGTTCATTAACAACTCTGATGTTGTTAATTAATAACATAAATATTTTTAGCAACCCAGCTGGCTTTCCTGTGGTTCTTACTTGGCTTTCAGAACAAGGAGTTTTCTTGGGGATTGATGGATGATCTTCCTGGACCCCGCGCAGGTCAGAAGACCATAAATACTTATAGGTCAGATTCACTTGTTGACCCTTAATAAGCAGCCATACATGATAACGTGGCAACATTTCTTCTGGAGCCAGTCCTAAAAACAGCCGCTTTGGAGGCCAGTCAAGACATGCAGACCCAGATGATTTGTGTACTAATATTTTTCTTAATTCATTCATTTGGCCTATGAAATAGGGTAGAAATTAGACCGCATGGTATTTTGCAAATACCCTGGTGCTAATATGACTATTTGAAACATATTAGATAGCGCTTCACAGATCCAGACCGACTGTGGGCTGCCCTTGATTCCTTTTGCCCCGGCACTAATGAGCTGCCCCGTCCGCCCGCGCTGCGGCATCGCCACGTGCCGACGTTGTTCTTCAATTACCAAAACCTCGTGCTCCATGTCACCCTTAGAGATACGTCTCACATGTCACCCAGTCATCTTAAAAACCACTAGCCACAGTCTGCTCGTGTGTAGGGAGGTCTAAAATTACTCTCTGCGCTCCTTCCAAAGCCAAATGCATCTTATTGAAATTATTGGAGAAAAAGGAAAATAATTATAAAAGTTATGTCCTCTTTTCCGTCTTATCCTTTATTGCTTTGATTTTCTTTTCAATGCTGACTCAAGCCAGTGCTGGAGAAACTTGCCATGTATTTCAGGCCGTCTTGCCCATGCTTCAGTTCAAAAATCAAATGTGTCTTTGTGCAGGAGCATTTGAATTTGGGTGCAAAAATCTGTTCTTGAGCCTTATTTTTAGAAGTGAACTCTCCATCTATTGCTTCAAACAAAGCTACATTTTGATTTATTGTATCCTCATAAAGAGCAAGTTACAGATTTTTTTTTAAAAAAGCGTCATCCTCCAAACTGAATCTAAGCAATTAAATCAGTTGTTCCTGATTATTTTTTAGTCAGGAACAATATACTTGGACAAGTGTAACCTCGATTAGAGGCAGTAGCAATGTATTAAAAAGTATATTTTCTTCAGATTTAAGTGAAGAGATCTAATTAATGATACTAAGCATTTTTTTAAAATGCAAAATCTCTTCCTGCGTAGAGCAAAGGCCCCAACATGCGCCGGGTAGATCATCTCTGTACCATGCAGAATCAATGAGTTTTTCTCCGTGGATGTTCATTCCAGGTTGCTCCCTGTAATGACCTCAATTATACATGTCTTCATTGTGAAATTATTATTGCCGTTGGCGGGCTGCAAATGACAGCAAAGAAAAGATTTTGCTGATAAAAGAGCCCAACAAGGAATACCTGCCGGTGGCGAGCTCGCGATGCGGCTGCTGCTCGGCACCTGCGGGGATAAGGCTGCAAAGGAGGAGGGAAGCACTAAACTGCTCTCGTTATTTTTATCAAGAAAAGGAATTAGTGAGACTTTGCATTCTCAGAGGTTTGTAAAAACTAGACATGAGAACATGGGGATGGCTGTGGATGGATCAGGGTGATGCTCGGAGCCTCTGCAGGCACCGGGTGTGGGAGCGATGCGGGTTGTAGCTGTCCATACGCAAAGCTACTGAGCTTGAATTTCCAAGGAAACATGGAATTGCTTGGTTTTAGGACCAAATTCTGTCTTGGTCTGTGATCTGTGGATGCTAGCTACATGTTCTCTCCCATTTTGTGCACAGGCTAAAGATCCTTTTACCTCCTAAATTTTTTTAAAAAGTGAAATGAATGGTTCAATACTTAATTTAGTGTGTTCTGCATAAAATCTTTATGGTGACTGGAATAATTTGTGCACGTAACCCAAGGTGCATCGGTGTGTCCGAGCTCCCTAACTTCAGTGCAAGACCCTGATAGCAATGAGAGATGATTCGAGGGGGACTAAAATCACCCAGGAAGTCCTGTGCTAATGGGAAGGTTTTCCAAGTCAGCATGCCAATAGCCAGATGTGCTCAAACACACTGCACAGAGGTGTTCAGAGAACACTCCGTGTTTTTATTGCTGGAGCAATCTGTGCTATTTGCATGTTAGCACCTAAAAAGTCACCCCTTGAATTGATACAGTTCTTCCAAAAGTGGCAGCTATGCAAGGTGTCGTCTTAAGTAAAAAAAAAAAAAAAAAAGGTATTTTTCATTAATGTACTTACAAAATGTAGAACCACAGCCCCGCTAGCTGTCATTTGGAGAGTGAGGAGAAATTTTAAATTTTCCTGCAACAAAAAATGTTGCTGAAGAGGGAGCTGGCGGGAGCCCAGCATGTCCCAGGCACTCAGAGCAGCTTGAGAAACCACACAGGGAATTAAAGAAAATAGCAGTGGGAAGGGAAGAGCAGATCTCCAGTAAATGCATGACCCTCTATTTCATTTCTCTTCAAGTAAAGATGGTCCCATTAGCCCTTCTCCATGCTACAAATTGTTGTAGTTATCCATTCTTTATCCTGACAAGTGTAACCCAAGTATTTTATTCAAAAGAGGAGCTTGTTTTTATGCAGAAAATATTGATGTTTTTGATACATTTGTGCTGTTTGCATGCTTACAATAGAGGTTATGGAAGAGGATGGCAGGATGTGGTATCCCTGTCCTCCAGAGCATCCCTGCTGTGTCCCTGCTTGCTCCCACAGACGTTCCCGGGGCAGGGAGCAATGCCCTTTAGCAGTCCCAGCACACGGGACACGCAATGTTGCATTGATCCTTGCACCCCTCAACCCATCCGTGTCTCCCATAGTTGGTACAATGTGTAGCACACCAAATTCACCCCTTTTTACACAGAAGAATTACAAGGCACGAGCAGGTTTTGCACTGAAATATTCTCGACAAGTCGATACCTGGATGCGTCGGAGTGAATCTTCTCAGGCTTCCGTGGGCTACCCACAGGCCTAACAGATGTGTTCCTCTAGAGATGCTGTACAATTTTGCTGTTACAGGACGTGGAGACAGATGGAAAATTATGTTTGAAAAAAAAAAAAAAGGATACTTTTTTTATTATTTTTATTTAGTGCATTTGCACAGTGTAAACCAGAAAGAGTGCAAGATTTTCCCACCAAGGTTTTTAACTCATTAAGCAGAAGCACTCGAAGCGTTTAAATCTTCCTTACGCTTATAGCAAGGAGGTTTCAAGGCCTCCTTGTTTCAGAGAAAAAAAAAACGCCCATGGGAGTGATAAAATTGTGACTGCTGCAATTTTGACAATGTGTCCTGATTGCCCTATTGCTTGCTCACCGTTGCTGAAATGCCTAATAATGACTTATCTGCGGTGACAGCAGTTCCAGCATCAAATGTCTTACCTATCTGTAGAACTGCACATGGCAAAATATGCAGACACATCTTTAGGAGCAGTGGCCAGAGGAAAATGATGTGACACTGGTGTGGTTTCAAAGAAATAAAAAGGCCTGCTGCCTCAGGCGCTTTCTTTTTTCCTATGGCACATATAAATCGAGGTAACTGAGTTTTTCGGTTTAAATAAAGTATAGGAAGGCGTCTCACTGCTTCGTTTAGAAAAACCTCTGTATCTCAGGTGCCATGTGTAGCCGCTTTTGGCAAAGGAGCTGGGAGTTTTCTTGTCTGGTGACTTCCTGGTATTTGGAGCATTTAAAATTAGGTTTATTTCTGTTTCAGCGGTTATATTCTTATCTTAATTCTGCTTTATCTGGAAGGAACTTGTCGAATGGTTGCGGCTTTGCAGAGGAGCTCGGCAGGAGCTTCTAGAGCCCCCGGTCAGGGTGTTTAAAGAGGAAAGCCTCAATGCATCCTCGCTTTGGATCCTGCCACCCTGTTTGCTAGGAACGATCTATGGAGCTGGCAATGGCTGCTGCGTTTGCTGTGTCTCCCGCTCTGCCTTCCCGCTAAGGGAATATCCCCCTGCTTGCAAATTCCTCCGGAGTTATCCCTGGCGCTGGGCGGGCAGGAGGAGCGCGGGTGGTGATGCCGTCTGCTTGGTTGCCTTTTGCAGAGGTGGTTCAGCTCAGCCTGCCAGAGGAGCAGAGGGTCAGCGTGAGCACCATCACCGTCGGCCTGAGCACCGTGCTCACGTGCGGCATCCGCGGGGCCCTGCGGCCGCCCATCATCTGGAAGCGCAACGGAGTCGTCCTCAACTTCCTCGACTTGGAAGACATCAACGTGAGTCCCGAATCAGCCCGGGGATTTTCCGCTTTAGGGTGTTGGTGGGTGTAAGGGAATGGTTTTATTTCCTTGTTGCTGTGGAAAATGGAAGCTGGCATGATGTTCTGTTTTTATATGAAATTGTCTTAAAGAATGAAAGTGGAGTAGCGTAGGCAGCTGAGAGCACGGCTGCTAGAGTATGGCATTAGGAAATCACGGCTCAGTGGGAAATAACCTGGCAATTACTGTGCACCGATACTTCATTCCTGGCTGCTCCCTGGGTCTGGGATCCCTGCAGCCCAGGATCCGCGGGGAGCCATCCCGGGAATCCCAGCAGAAATGAGCTGCACAAGCCTGTACTTCCCAGGTATCCCGTTCCCTGTACAGCAAAATGGGTTCATCCGGAGGATGAAACACTACACTTGTGGCTGACAATGCACTCTCTCCTGTATCTAAATCAAAAAAATAAGTTTTTTTCATATTTTTCCTATTTCACTTGCCTTTCAGCATCTTCTCATCTCATACCCTTCAGCTACTGGTTTTGATGAGCAGGTTTAAAAAAAGGATTATGCAACAGGGTGCAGCAGTCCCCTTGCAGGGGAGCTGGATCTGCAGCTTGAGGGGCTGAGTTGAGGTGTGAGTCATAGTTTGCAGTAAAGACAATACTTAAATAATGGTGTAAACCTGCTCATTTATTTAATAACATTTGATTATGGAGAAAGCAGAAAGTAGTGTACAGAAAATATGGTCTGTATTTCATTTCTCTTTGCATTAAAGTACCCAGTAAATCAGGTTTTATTTTAATTACACTACAGCAAGAGTTGATTTATATTTTTGTTCAGCTCTCGTTAATTTGATACCCACTCAGTTCTGCGTTGTTACAGTTGATAATATAGCTCCCTAAACTCTTGTCTATCCAGGATTGCTGAGATGTGAAAAATCTTTGTTCCACTCTTCTGCATTAATGCATGAAAATTACAGCATACGAGACAGGCACGTTACCCTGCAACGCAGCTCCTTGTTGTTGTTGACTACACTGCAGTAAGAGAATTGTGTGCGCTGTATATAGGTGGTTAATGTACACACAAAATGTGTAACCGCAGCCATCTGAACAGTCTCGCCTTCCACCAAAGCAAGTATTACCCTTTCTGAACACAAATCGTTGCTGCTTGGAACATGGCATTGACAGGCAACCTGAATCCCACACACGCCTGGCCCTAATGCTGGCCTAGGAACATGAAGGAAACTCATGGACACCTGCCCAGACGGGATGCACAAAATCAGGTTTGCTGTGGGTACGTGGCACAACAAAGCACGTGTGATGCTCACGCAACCACTCACTGCTTGTCCTGTGCAAATACTCCTTGTAAGAGATCAGTTTCTTGACACAGATTAAGTGCAGTAAGGATCGCACATGCCATCAGTGCAACAGCCTCGGCAGCTTTGTGTGATGGGAGTCTAGGAGCAGCCTTGTCTTTTGCCAGTTCTATTCATTAGAAGATCTTGTATATATATTTTTAGACTAAGATTTGTTGTTGAGTCATAGACTGGGCTGTTTTTTACAGGTGAGATTCAACAGTTTGAAATCTAATTCTCAGATAATATGGAGGTTTAAATTAAAATTCTGTGCTTAATTCTCATAAGGAGAACCTCAGTATGGAGGTTTAAATTAAAATTCTGTGCATTTATATTACCTTCATGGCGTCTTGATGATCACATGAATCTTTAAAAATATTGGAGGTTCACATGTGAACCACACATAAATTGATAGTCCTGGGACTGCAATACAAATGGGGACAGCACAGGGATCCAGTGCTTCATTTTGTAACTCTTACTATTTTAATCTATTAGGAATAAATTTTGAGGCTCAGATGCCACTTACTGTCTCCTATAGTATGGCCCAAGTGAGTTTCTGATTTACTCACAAGTAATTCTGTTTTTTTTGTTAATATTGTCATTAAATGTTAAGAGGAAGGGTTATGTCCATAGCCGTGAAGTGACTGGTTTCTCAGTACTCAAAGACACCTTAGACAGTCACATGCACGCGGACAGCAGATCCCTCTTGATCTGTTGGAACTTCTCCTCTTCCTAATACGTCAGTGAGAAACGATATCAAAGGGGCACTTGGAGATTTTAACAAGGAAGAAAAACAGGATTTATTCCTCAACTTTAGTGTTCCATGTGTCTGTTTATGATCCCTCTCACCTTGTCATAAAACACCTGGTATTGCGCATCAACAGTATTTTAATCTAATAAACACCTCAGCACCTTTTCCATCTTTAATTAAAACTATAAAGCTTTTTATGCTCCTTATACATCACTGCCATCTGTATTCTCTTCTGCTTACCCCCGATGACCCATTCTGGAGACGACGAACTTTTCCCTTTCCTCCTTCACTGTGAGGAGCGTGCAGGGCTGTGGAGCTTGGCTGTGTCCTATTGCTCTCCATCAGAGAAGGGATCTGGGGTGCTTGAAGCGCTTGCTGCTAGCAGGGGTGAAGGGATGGTCATCTGGAAGAGAGTGCAGAGCCATGATTTCCATGTGCAAACATTGCTGGAATTACTATCTCAATGCAAAGACAGCGTTTTGGAAGACTGGGACAGGATTTCCAAATGCTGTATGGCATTTGGAAGATGCAATAGGAAATTGGAAGTCCAACCTATTCCCTCACCAGGTAAAGTCATTCTAAAAATCCATGCTCAGGAGACATTGACCAAGTTAATCATCACAAGAAGTACTCAGGATGGTGTTCTGGGTTTAATGGGGTTTAATCAGCTGGATGTGCAAGCTTCATGTGCCTGGAGGATTGCAGCGTGGAGACACCTGAAAACCCAACCCAGCTGCACTGCTGGGCATGGGTGGCAGCAAACACCTCAAGGGTTCAGCCTCGGGTTGGTGCACAAGCTCGCATTAAACAGTATCTGTTTAAAGGCATTGGCAGCAGGGAAGTAAAGACGATGTGCTTCCTAATATACTTGAAGTCAGTTAATTAAATTACTTCAGTTTTCTTTTAGTATGCCTGAAGCAGAAACTCAATCGCATTTCTGCTTTTCACAATAAGGTTAGCAATTTTGCTAATTGGAAGTGCAACAGGAGATTAATTGCACCTTTTTAACTTGAAGAAAATCCTCCCTGCTCCTGGCGCAGTGGTAATCACATACGAACCTATAGGATATTCGCGCTCTTGGAAAAAGCCTCCTATTATATTTCAATTAAACTCTTTCTCTTCTAAAAGCTCATGCTTATTCAGGAAATCAGATGAAAATAGAAGCCTGTTTTCTGAAGAGAATACACAGTCCTAAAAAGTCATGAGTGCAGAAGAGCAAAGGCACCACAGCCGAGTCCTCCGCTGCCCCATTCTCCCCAGACACTTGGCAGAGCTATAACGAGGCCAAGGGTGGTTCCAGACTCATGCTGGAAGGAGCAAAAACAGTCAACAGAAACCTGCATAATTCTGCATTTACACAGAACTGAGAGCCTCAAGGTTATTACAATGCCTCGTTGTTTATGTGCTTTGTTTGAATCATTTTTTAAGCAGTATCTTGATAGGCAAGAAAGTATTAATCACTTTTCATTGCTCTTTTAATCAGAAGCTTTCATAAATGACATATTAAAATTTGTCTTATCTGTTAAGAACTCTGTTAATGAGTTGTCACATAGCTCTTACAAAAGAGCCATCTTAATGACACATGTAATTAAATGATTTCTCCTACAAACATTGAAGATTAATTTTTAGCATCAAAGTATTATTTTCCATAAATATCATTTATCCATAATAAGCACCTTCGCATCTATGCTGATAAAAAGTGATATCAGCTTTCCTCATGAAGAAAACAACTACAGTGAAACTGAAGCTGATGAGATTGTGATAATTATAAATGGATGTGTGATTACAAATTGGGAAGTGGTTAAAATGTATTGCTTTTCAAAATAATATATGTTTGTTCCCAGGAGCGTTCAGTATGTTTTCCCAAATGTCTAATTGCGAAGGCATTCCCCCACTGAAGTAACAAACTCCTTATGGAGTCAAATGTATTGATACAGCACTTACGCATACTGTTTCACATGCCTTTCTATCATCTCTACAGGTGCGTATGGAAATCTATAAACAGAATTTATAAATGAAAGTTTATTCTTCAAAAGCATAGCAAAAACATGCAAACCACAGAAAGGAGAATATAAGCATAACCAAACAAATGTTACAGAAGAAAAGTAGATAAGAATTTGGTGGTTTACCAGGTATCATATGGGCAGCCAGAACATAAATTCTATCTTTCATTATTCACTTCACAGTAATCTGCACAGTTTAGCTCAAGTCTGGTTTAGGTCTTCAGCTCAAGAGCATGCTTTCCAGTACACATCATTAAAACAGAGGTTTCTACATTTCTGCTGATGCCAGGTGCAATAAAGTATACTTTCTGTACAAAGAAGAAAAAAAAGCCCCGATGCAGGGACAGAGGCTCTCAAGTCAATTCCCTCCTGGTGGAAGGACACTGGGGAGTCCCAGCAGAGAAGCTTGAGTCCTTCACACCTAATTTAGTGCTTGTCCTTCTACTTGTTTGATGAAAAATCCATGATTGCCCCTAGAAAGCAGCATGCACCCAGGAGTTAACCCAACGCAGCGCATCATTTGTTTCCTGCTGTCTCTTATGTGCATCAGTTAGTTCATCTTGCAGAAAGCAAAGTCGGAAGTTTCCAGTGAGAAGTCCATGTGCTAAATTTTTGAATAAATGTCTCGAGCATTACTTTGCCAAAGACCCCCCTTTCCCAGCCTCATGTATTTTCAGCTTTGTATTACAGTCTGTATTGCGTTCATCAACCAACTACTGCAAACAAATCCCTCACATTCCATATTTATTTTCTTTCTTAGCCTATTAGACCAACTGGCAGTTGGACTCCTTTGGGAAGCTCGTAAGCAAAATTGGTTCTGATAGCTTGAAACAGAGCTTATGGAATTAGAAGGGGCTCAGAGGGATGGCACATAGGATGGAGACCATGGAAAACTCTTTCCAGTATAA